CGGGCGGTGGTGGTGCACGCCTTTAATCCCAGCACTCGGGAGGCAGAGGCAGGCGGATCTCTGTGAGTTCGAGGCCAGCCTGGTCTCCAAAGTGAGTTCCAGTAAAAGGCGCAAAGCTACACAGAGAAACCCTGTATCGAAAAAACAAAAAAACAAAAAAACAAAAAAACAAAAAACAAAAACAAAAACAAAACAAAACAAAACAAAACAAAAAAAAAGAAATCTTTGGGTGTTTGCTAAATTTAATATACGCTAATGGTAGCCCTATATAAGTTTGTAAAATAGATCTATAGAGTTCCTTCAAGAATATAAGCTTGCAAGAAGAATCTTAGGTAGTCCTAAGACATGTAGTAATAAGCTTGTAAGATGCTAGTTGTAAATGTAAGTTTAAAAAAGAAATAAGAAGATGGAATGAATATAAGAAATATATATGAAGTAATAAGAAATATATTTGCTAAAGTAGTTCTATAGTTCCCTTAAAGAGTATAAATAAGTAGATGTTAATGTTATAAGTGAATTTGTTAAAAAAAAAAGTGTAAATGTTAAGTGTGAATCTATTCTTAATGTATATGGTGAAAGAACCCGAGACACAAAAGGTAGTGTCTGGTAGACTGCAAAGCAGGCAGTCTGAATGGTTTCAAAAGCTCCAGAAGCCACTAAGAAACTAAGAATGGCGGACGCCAGAACCAGCACAATGAGGCATCCGCAGCTGAGATCCATGAAAAATCAATGTAACACAGAAAAATCTGAGCTAACATAAAAAGCGGTGTGGTTTAGAATACTACTGTACCTAAAAAGGTCTCTGGCTTGAGAATAAAAGTTGCAGAGATGCTTGTTTGAACTAAAATTGTTAACTGCAAAAAGTTTTGGTTGTGAACTGTTTCTTCATATTTGGAAGTGAAAGTCTGATACCAGAATTTACTTTTTTGAACTTTTTGAACTTAAAATGAGATAAAACTACAGAAAGATTTTGGTTATGGATTTCTTCATATTTGGAAGGCTAGTACCAGAATTTATTATTTGAATTTTGGGACTTAAGAAATGAACAATAGAGATTTCATTGCTATGGGACGATTTTGAGTTACTTATAGTAATGACCAAGGAACTATTTTCTGGAATTGGGTTAAAAGTGGAACTGTTTAAATGAAGAAATTTATTGTTTCTAGACTAAATATGCAATTTTGTGTATGCATATATGCTTTATTAACTGGTGATTCATGAATTGTTTTATGGCACTGTTTATGTAAAAATGGAATTACTTATGGAACTGGTTTTGTGTTACAAATGGAACTGTTTAAACAGAAAAGTTTGGGTTTTCTAACTAGGCTTGAGATTTTGCTTAAAATTATAAAGAAAAGGGAGAGTTAATATTTCTTAATCTATTTAATTTAAATTGTTGTTTGAGTGGATTAATGCCATGTTTTGTTAGTAAGAAATGTAAATGGGGTATACTAAGAGATTACTTTTAAAGTGTAAAGAGTTTTATTATGAAACTGCTTTTGGACGTTTTGCTAAAAGTTTTCAAGGTGTTAATGGTTAGATTGAGAATACTGCATTTCAATATGTGTTTATAGGAACTGTATAAGTTTGGGTTTTTTCTAACTAGTTTTGAGATTTTGTTTAAAAAATTGAAAAGGAGGAGTTATGAGGTTGAATTATATTTGCAGAAATTATGTTTAACCTATTGATATTAATGGACCCTGGTTTTGTGGAGTTAAGGAAATATTTAACTTTGATGTGAATACATCGAAGTTTTTCCTATGTTCTGTTAGCAAGAAAATTCAAATGATTAAGACAAAGTTGTAAGACAGAGAAAATTGTTGACTATATATAGCACCATATATGCTAGTTCAAATGGTTCTGTTAAGAGTTTGCTTTGTGTTGTAAGATTGGGAGAATTGTGACTATGTATAGTGATATTTATGTTAACTTGTTAATGGTAATGATGAAGCTAAGGGATTCTTTAAGTTTGGAGTTGCCTTAAGAGTTTTTGGTTTAGAAAGGGCTTGAGGCAGCTAAGACTGCTGTAGTCACCTTCGACCTAATTCAAAAGAGAAATGCCATCTATATCACCCTCTACTCCCATACTGGGAGGTGTAACAGCTATAGAGATTGCTGTAAGCCATTAATAATTAGTTATTTTTTATATAATAAGAAAGGGGGGCCTGTGGGAGCCCGTTTTCGAGTTCCTCTTGGCTTTACCCAGCAGGTCTGTATAGAGGATGATCAGGACCACGGGCCTGAGTGCAGGTGTCTGAGATGGTCTGCACTTGGCTGTGCTGGGGGAGGAGGTCATTTGCTCCACCCCTTGGCATCTCTATGAAAACCCTGGGGCAGAGACAGTGGGGCCATTGGAAAAGGTTCCAGGCCCTCTCGAGGCTATCCTTTATTTTCTATCTGTTTATCTCCGCAAGATTCTCCGCAAGATTCTCCGCAATAAATCCTTCTATCTAATATTTCCTGCTGCTCACACTCAAGAAAACTCTGGGGAGCTGTGGGGTTGGTGGGTAAACGCCCCACACATGGGAACTCAGGACTCCATATCCTCCCACTCCTCTTGGCTTGCCTCTTAGAAAACATCTAGCCCCTCCACCTGATACCCGACTTGAAGGGCACTAAATTCACTGACTTTTACAATCGAATTTGGCTTCAATACCCCTTAGATAACCAATCCAAAGAGCCACCTATTGGCACCTTATAGTCTATTATTATTTGGAACCTTTACAAATACTGCGAGCGATTGGGGAAATGGAAAGAGTTTTCCCCATTCCCTATTTCTCTGCTCCAAGCCCTGTTTGCTTTCTTCTCCATTTCTTCTTAGCTACACCTATCTAGAGGAGCTCTCACATATGGATGTTTATTGTCCAAGAGACCCTCTCCTCTAACCAACAGCCTGTCCTCATAGGGTCAGGAAATTACTCTATATCATGTTGTCAATGTCTGATTCAGTCCCCCAGTCCATCTCTCCTTCACTGGGGCTTATTACCTATGCACGTTTTCTCTATTCTTGTATGATGATTTCCGTCCTGAAAACAAAAATCATAAAAACAGGGTTTATGATAGAATTTAAAATCAGTGCTTGTTTAATAAGGTATTAAAGCCATGCCTTCATGTACTTATACTGGGACATACAAGTGTTATAAAGGTCTGAGCATGTGAAAGCTTAAGTAAGCACTGAGGATAACTTACTGGAGCAGAGGCGGTGAAGTTTGTGTGCTATGTGTGATTCTGTGGTATTCCTTGACTTCCAGATGCCAGTATTAAAAATACAAGCCTTTGTATTAAAAAATAAACATAAACACTGTGATATTCATGCTATGTATCACCATGACAGCCTATTTTGATTGTTCTATTTCCAAGGCACACAACTCTTACATACCTTTTGACCAGTGACAACACACAATAAGCATTAAGGTTCTATGGACTGAAAAATAAAATATCTTTTGTATGAGACTAAAATTAAAATTCAAGAAGGCGAAAACTCTAAAGGAAAAAATGCTAAAATTTAAATTGCCCTGCCACTTACCAGCAACTCTGAATTAGGACAGAATGTGTCAGGAGGGGATTTATTTAAACTGTTACTATTTTGGAGAGGAAGACCAAACACACTAACTTCTGTAGACTAAGGAAACAAGTCCAGAATGAAGAAGGTATTCAAGTATATTTATCATAACACATTTATAAAGCACAAACGCAGAAAAGTAGCTTAAGTATCCAACTTCAGAGTGGTTTAATAAATGGTAAAAACCAATGGATAAATTTTGTGCTATAAAAATATTTTATATTGCAGAGGTTACATGTGGAACTGCTTGGGGTTATATATTGGGTATATTGTATGTAAATGTATAAATACATAACATATGTATAAAAGAGTACAATAAAAACGAACAAGAAAACTGCTAGGTGGCAAGCAGCCAACACAGCATCTATAGCCACAGGGTGATGGGAAAAGAATGGATTTGAAATCATTCTTGCTGTACAGCATAAACATCACCCTATGATGTAGTCACATGCACATGTAGTGCAGAAACACATAGGATCTCTAAACTTTGTTAGAAGAGATTTTATGGTCCCTTTTAGAAAAAATAAGATTTAATTGAGAGAGAATAGAAATCAAACAAGATGTATTGGACTAGCAGACTATTTGAATTTTTATTTTTCCAAATTTTTCCTCTCAGCTGTGGGATTATCTAAGCAGAAAATATAATGTGGACAAATACAGCTTTCATGACTTTTTTAAAAACGAAAATGTGAAATCTCACATACAGAAGGAATGTGTTTCTCTCTTAATACTGCCAATGGTTCTTCCCACAATCCAGACTAAGACACTTTATAACTCTATGTTAATCCATTTCATAATCATGAACTTTCAATTTATCATTTAAACAAGGCACAGCATTTCTCTCCTATTTCTGAGTCTTAAAAATAAATCCTGTGGAGCTGTAGATGCCATAGACTGGGCTTTATTTGATGCCATTTATCACCACAGCTCCAGAACCCCTTTGCCTCTAATTCTGCTTGGAATAAAGGGAGACATTTGTCTTCATTTACTTAACTTGAAGTCCTACAGATTGCCTGTGCTGTTCATGGACAGCAGCAGAGATGGAGTCAGAAGCTTAGTGAGTAGAAGCACAGTTCCACCTGACTCTTCAGTTACCCTCTTGGACCTTCTCACTGTCAACTTTGTCTTCATTAAGATGAAGCCACCACTTCTGCCTTGCATTTTTGTATGCTAATTTCCTGTGTATAAGGATTTTTACTGTTATCCAGAGCTGTCTTTTGTGTTATATCAGTGTAAGATAAACACATATCTTGGTAAGAGATGTGTATGTATGTATTAGCATTTTGTACTTATAATAAAAATGTGATACATGCTCATGACCATGAAAAATGCAAAGAACATAGAACGACTGAATGTATCATGTCATCACAGAGATAGTCTAACAGTTTGTGTCTAACTTTTTAACATAGTGTTCTATTGATATAATAACTTATATTTTCTTTTCTGAAAGTGATCAGCCTACACATACAATGCTGTAAAATTTTCAGACTCCTAACACTAGGTCAAGACCAAGATCATACCATTTCATTCCTTATATCTGAAATAGTTGTAAAGAATCATTGTATATAGAGAGATGACATCACCTTCAATGCTGTTATTTTGTGCAGATTGGTATAGCATACCTTATTATCATTCCTGAAAAAAAATCAATCATTACTTAATTCCCAAGACTTCCTTGTGGCACTTTCAAAATGAGTATTCTTTTGGTCTTTTCTTATATAAAAATATCCACTCCTTCACTTATTTGCAGTTAAACATCAAAAGAAAAAGGAACTATTGTTCTTATTGTGTACTAAATGTTATATAGGAATTTTTAAAGTATAAATTATTTTTCTTCTTGATAATTCACCAGTAATAAAGTATTTATGTGCTCCAACTATGTTAACATCATCCAGCTGTCATGAAAGCTTATATATTATGAAAATTTTATAAAAAAGTGAAAAACGTATTTCCAAGGATTGAAATTTAAAGGCAATAATAAATCATGAAGAATTTGAATATGCTTGTGTATATATAGCTTTAATTTTTTTATACTATGCTATTTATTAGGAATAACACTTGGTTCTTATTGGTAAACACTTGTTCTTTCTGAATATAAAATTTAATCATACTACATCTAAGCATGTAACTGTAAGAGTGTCCAGTTCTCTAAAGTAGTTAAGTCTTAAATCTCCAACAGTGTTGATAAACTCTGCAAGTCATTTGCCTGCTAGGCTCCAATGTCATCATGCAGAAGTCATTTTCATTCCTCAAACATGACAGACTTTCACAACTCTGCATATTCTTTCTTAAATGCCACTCTGCCTCCCTTTTCACATGAGCTTGTATTAATATGTTACATCAAGTTAAATTGTCATCACCTTTGGGGATCTCTTCAAAGGGAATAACCATTTTCTTCTATGATCCATGATAGCTGTTTAAACATTCCCTTATCATGTTATATATCATCATGTGCTGTAATTATACCTGTTCCCACTAGGATCCAAAAGTCTGGGAAGTAAGATTCTTAGTTGAGGCTTCTGCTTGTCTTTGCCAATCATTTCGTTTGTTCTACAAATAAAGATCAAAATATGAGAGCTGAATTGATACAGTGGAA